GGAGGCGCGCGTCATGTGAGTGGCCCTTAATGCGTCCTCTTTCTCGCAGGGCATGTTCATCGTCTCGCTGCCGTTCGCCGTGCTGCGCGGAGGGTACTGGGCTATCGTCGCCATGGTGGGCATCGCCCACATCTGCTGCTACACGGGCAAGATCCTGGTCGAGTGTCTGTACGAGGTGGACGTGACCACGGGGCGCCGCGTCCGCGTGAGGGACTCGTGAGTACACCGACTAGTAAGGTGTAATGGATTACCTGTTACACCTTACCCCCTCGGGCGAGCCCCTGAGTGCGTAGGCAGCAGCGGCGCGGCCGTGCCTGGCGGGTGGCCTATGCCGCGGCTGGCGGGCGCCCGCCCGGGCGCTGGATGCAGCGCCTCACCCGCCACTGCCTGTTGCAGCTACGTGTCCATCGCCCGGGAGTGTTTCGGGGCCAAGTGGGGTGCCCTGGCGGTCAACGCGGCCCAGATCATCGAGCTGCTCATGACGTGCATCCTGTACGTGGTGGTGTGCGGGGACCTCATGATTGGCGCCTTCCCCGAGGGCTCCATCGACGCGCGGTCCTGGATGATGATGGTCGGCATCGTGCTGGTGCCGCTGGGCTTCCTCAAGTCTCTCCACCACGTCTCCATGCTCAGCTTCTGGTGCACCATGTCGCACTTGTTCATCAACGCCGTCCTGTTGGGGTACTGCCTGCTGGAGATTGGCGACTGGGGCTGGGGGCAGGTCAAGTGGGGCATCGACATGGAGAACTTCCCCATCTCTCTGGGTGTGATCGTCTTCAGCTACACGTCCCAGGTAAAGACGGCTCTGAGCGCCAATCGTACCCACAGCCCCCTACCTCAGAGCTACTGACACCCCTCCTGTTTTCAGATCTTCCTGCCCACCCTAGAGGGCTGCATGGAGGACCGATCAAAGTTTGACTGGATGCTCGACTGGTCTCACGTGGCTGCCGCCGCTTTTAAGTCCATCTTCGGTTACGTCTGCTTCCTCACCTTCCAGAGCGACACTCAGGAGGTATGATCTTTAATGGGAAGTATTCAGAAAATATGTTGAAAAATATTACATGCGCATCTTGTTGATCAGGTGATCACGAACAACCTGCACTCCCCCGGGTTCAAGGGCCTGGTCAACTTTGTCCTCGTGCTCAAAGCTGTTCTCTCCTATCCACTGCCGTACTATGCTGCCTGCGAAATTCTCGAGAAGATCTTCTTCAAGGGCAAGCCCGAGACACCGTTCCCGACCATCTGGGCCCTGGACGGCGAGCTCAAGGTCTGGGGTCTGGCCTTCAAGGTGGGCGTCATCGTCTTCACCGTGCTCATGGCCATCTTCATCCCGCACTTCGCCATCCTCATGGGCTTCATCGGCAGCTTCACGGGAACCATGCTGAGCTTCATCTGGCCCTGCTACTTCCACCTGCAGCTCAAGCGCGACACTCTCGACCGCAACACCATCTTGTACGACTACTTCATCATCTTCCTCGGCTGCCTGTTCGCAGTGATCGGCATCTGGGACTCGGGCTCGGCCCTCATCAAGGCCTTCCAGATCGGCCTCCCCTTCTAATCACCTCGCTAGTCCACCTCGCGCCCGTCAACACCAGTGCCCCCCCCCCCTCCCCC